CTCACACAGGCCATGTACTCCAGTGAGCCCTACCTTAAACAGCTTCCACACTGCTCCACAGCTCTTATCGAGCGCGCCAAGGCCAAAGATGTAACATCAGTGTTTGAGCTTCTGGAGCTGGAGAACGATGACAGATCGGAGATTCTGCAAATGGAGGGGGCGGAGCTTGCTGACGTGGCACGATTCTGTAACCACTACCCGTCGATTGAGGTGGCAACGGAGTTGGAGAGCTCAACGGTGACCACACAGGACAACTTGATGTTGGCTGTTTCGCTGGAGAGAGATAATGATATTGATGGGCTGGCACCGCCGGTGGTTGCACCATTATTTCCACAGAAACGGAAGGAAGAGGGATGGTGGTTGGTGGTTGGAGATCAGGAATCCAACGCATTGCTTACGATTAAGAGGTGAGTGGAATTTTTGAAATCTTGGGATTTCGACATGGTGGCCTAATTATTTTGAATAGACAATACCTCTTTTTTCCATTTCACTTCGCAATCAAAACAGTAAACAAAGTTGTTTACAGGTAAACAACCTTGTTTACCTACAATATGTGTCAAGTCGACCTCGATTGTTTTCGAACGCCCGCGTGGCCTAATGGATAAGGCACCGGACTCCGGAACCGGGAATGGGGGTTCAAGTCCCTCCGCGAGCTATCACCTTTTTTTTTCTTTTTTAGTTTTTTTCCAGGGCATTTAAGCCTATTTTGGACCAATTTAAGCTTATTTTAGACAACTTGACGCCTATTTTGAACCGTTTTCTGCTTAATTGAGTGCATTTTTAGCCTATTTGAGACCATTTTGTGGACTATTTTGGGACATTTTATGCCGAACTTGGATCATTTAAAGCCTACTTTTCACTATTTTCACCCTAATCTGGACTATTTTAAGTCTAGCTTGGACTTTTTAGAGCCTATTTTAGACTATTAGAAGCCTATTTTGGTCTATTTTAAGCCTATTTTGAGCCATTTTAAGCCTATTTCGGACAATTTCAAACCTATGTAGGACTATTTTAAGCCTAATCTGGACCATTTCGGTCTACTTTGAACCGTTTAGAGCCTATTTTAGACTATTAGGATTCTATTTTTAGCCATTTCAATCATATTTTGGACCAATTTAAGGCTAATTGAGTGCATTTTAGCATATTTTTGCCCATTTTAAGCCTTTAGACTTTTTAAAGCCAATTTTGGACCATTTTGAGACTATTCTGGGACATATTATGCCGAATTTCGACCATTCGAAGTCTACTTTGAACTGTGTAGAGCCTATTTTAGACTATTAGAAGCTTATTTCGGACTATTAAGCCTATTTAGAACTATCCTAATCCTTTTTTGAACCACTTTGTTATGCCTTATTTAGACCACTTGACGCCTAATTGAGACAATTTTATGCCTATTTTTGATTATTTTGAGCCGATTTGAATCATTTTAAGCCTATTTTAGACCATTTTTGACTTATTTTGAGCCATTTCAAGCCTATTACAGCCATAAAAACTCACATCAATAGCGTCCTGCTTATTCTCGATAGTCTTTGTGACAATTTCCGCGTTGAAATGATCATGAAGACAATGGTCCAAATGCGATTCGACTGGCAGCGGATCACCAAGGAATTTGCGATAGTAGGCACGTTTCGACGATTGACACATCACCACACACTTGGCTTCTGAGTCCAGAATCGGGCGATTCGCCAGGCCGACCATATGGAGCATATCGGCAATGGGGTAATCCTCATAGACATGGTACTTTCCGTTGTAGAATTGCGTATCCATGATAACCACCAGATAAGCACTCATTTCGATTTGATAGCACATGCCACGTGGCACGACGCACACCTGGATGGCGTTGGATTCGAAGAGTTGTTGAACGATGTGAACGTCTTTTGGAGATGAGCCCTCGTGAAGGAAACCGACACCACAGGAGACGGCTTCACGGAGGGATTCGTCTTCAATGTCTGCTAGAAGCGCTTGGAAGGTGTCGTCGTGTTCGGAGAGGCGCAGGAATCGTTTGGGGGTTCCGTCGGCGAGGGCCATCGTGAGAAGAGCGACGGCGACTGGACGGGTTTGACGACGCACTGGGACGAAGACCTGGAAAAGATTTGGACGTTTGGGAGGGAGGGCGATTTTAAAAGGTGATTTAGAAACCTTTGACTAGAAAATTAATGATTTTCATCTTATTTTTATTTTTGCCGGTCAAAAATATCAATTTCAATGGGAAGTTCGACATTTTTCAAGCTGAAAAAGCCTATTTTCTCATCAAAACTTGATAATTTTTGGTCGGAAATCTATCATTTTGGGTCCGAAATTGCTCATTTTCAGCTTCAGAAGCTGATATTTCTGGCTAAAACTCATAATTTTCAGCTTAAAAAGCTGATAATTTTAGGAGCGAAATTGCTCATTTCAGCTTCAAAATTTGATGATTTTGGGCTGAAACTGCTCATTTTCAGCTTCGAAACAGGACATTTTTAGGCTGAAATTGATCATTTATAGCATCAAAATATGATAATTTTGGGCTGAAACTGCTCATTTTCAGCTTCGAAATCTGATGATTTCGGGCTGAAATTGATCATTTTCAGCTTCGAAATAGGACATTTTTTGGCTGAAATTGATCATTTATAGCATCAAAATCTGATAATTTTGGGCTGAAATTTCTCATTTTCAGCTTCGAAATCTGATGATTTCGGGCTGAAAATTCATCATAAAATGTATTTTCTCTGACGTTTTAGCGCTAATTCTGAAAATCTCAAAACTCACCAATGCTGGTTTCGGCTCCAATTTTCCTGCGTGTCTGCAAATCGCTTGATAAACTGGTCGTTCCATAGCGGCGAATCTAGAGGCATTATGGGACAAATTGAACGACTTAATCTCCAAATCCAATGGCACTGGACGCGTCTGTGGCATGAAATTGAACGTGGCGGCTGCCGAGCATCCGAGCCACATTCCCAAGTCTCTGGCGTTGGTGAGAGATGAGGAGAGAGCAACAACACGTACAGCAGAGTCCAATTGAGAGGAAATATAGCGAGTTCTGGAGCACACAACTTCAAACACAGGTCCATTGTTGGCACCAATCATATGCAGGTCGTCTGCGATGAACAGTTTCACATTTTGCACTGATTTCCTCTGCTTCCATCGCCGCGAGATGTTATCCCATCGTTCTGGCGTCGAGATAATGAGCTGTCCGCGTTGAGCTAGCTTCAAATCAAGCGTTTGCTCTCCTGTCAGAAGAACGACGGTGTGTCCGATGGCACCCTCCAGACGACGTTTCCAATCGGCGTACACTTTCGACGCCATATCTTCCATTGGCGTGATGTAGACGGCTTTCGATTCTGGAGTGTTCTCAAAGTGTCGAAGGATCGCGAGCTCGGCGATTGCCGTTTTTCCAGAGCCATTTGGAGCGCAGACGATCACGTTCTCGTTGGATTCGAAGACTGTACGGAAGACCTGAAAAAATAAGATTTTGAAGAGAACAAGGTCGGGGCCTAATTTTTCTAGGCCACTTTTTGGCCCATTTTAAGCCATTTTTTGCAAATCGTCAATTTTGGTCTGTTTAAAGTCATTTTTGAATTATTTAGAGCCATTATTGGCATATTTTAAGCCATTTTTTGCAAATTTAGAGTCAATTTAGGCCTATTTAGAGTCATTTGTGGCATATTTTAAGCCATTTTTTGCAAATTTAGAGTCATTTTAATTTATTTAAATTCATTTTTGACCTAGTTTAAGTCATTTTGACCTATTTTCTGCCTATTTTAAGAAACTTCAAGCATATTTTCAGCCAAAATTTGCCAGGTCACGGTCTAATTTTTCAAATTTTCTAGGTCATGCCCTAATTTTTTAATTATTTAGGTCGTGGCTTAATTTTTTTGATTTTCCAGGTCACGGCCCAATTTTTCTAGATCATGACCTACTTTTTTCCTAGGACATGACCCAACTTTCTCGATTTTCCAGGTCACGGCCTCATTTTTCTTGGGGTTTCTAGGTCACGACCTGACTTTATCGATTTTCAAGGTGGCGGTCCAATTTTCTAGATTTTTAGGTCATGAACTAATGGATCCGGAATCCTAAACTTCTAAAAAAACTACTGTAATCCTCATTTTCCAAAGCTACCGTACTTCTTATTATAAAAAACTACCTTACCTGTGTCTGAATCGGATTGAACACCTTGAATCCACTCTCAGCGAACACTGCCTGGAACTCTTTGTTGGATACCGCAGAAATCGGCAGTGGCTGCAAGTCGAGAAGCTCAGTTGGTGGTGGATACTTCTCGGGAAGAATCAGATGACGGAACGAGATCGGAAGCACCGTCTCCGCGCCAATCCATCGATCGGAAACGATTCGAACGTAGTAGAGTGGTGGCATTGGGTCGAACATCGGGACAATCATCTTGACAACATGCTCATCGGTACAGAACTTCTGTTTGAGCAGGAAGAACTCGTGATGGAGGATTTTCTCGCCGTCGGTGTCTTCGATGAAGATCCAGAAGCCTTCTGCATTCCCATGAACCTTATCATCCCATTGGAAGTCCGGAGTGATAGTCAACTCGATTCTCATTGTAGTTCTTGTGATTGGCTGGATCAGCGTGGTCATTTCAAGTTTTGGGAATTGCCGGATAAACTTGTACAATGGTTTTCCCATCTTTGGCATCTTGATAAGATCTCCCAATTGATGTTGATCCAGGTCATACAGCCTATCAAACGAGTAGTTCTTCTTATCAATCGATCTAACCACTTCACTAGGAATCTTCTTAAACTGATGGAGCGGGTTCAACGATCCCCATTGTCTCTGTGTAACCATCTTACACAGCGTGAGCACCTTCTGAGCAAGCCCCGCCCATCCTCTCCAGAGAACAATCTCGAATAGAGCACGGAACAGACGTCCAGCTGATTGAGCAACGAAGACCATATCAGCTTGAAGAGCGAATCCTTCCAATTTCAACTGAGAAATGTAGGCTTGAAGGAGGACATTGGTCTTGGCAGATGCTTCGTCTAAATTCTCTTTGATGGGAATCGGGGCGTGCTCGGCGAGCTTCTGAAGCTCCAATTTCTCTTCATCTCTAACGGAGAGCAATTTGAATTCAGAGCTCATTGAGAAGATTCGGAAGAGATCGATATCGGAGCACGTCTCGATGAGCAGCTTGTTGTAGGTTTGCATGGATTCATAGGTACAGTAGAAGTGGGAAGCGATGCGTCCGAGTTCTGTCGCCTGGATGATTCCGGATCGTTTGTCGTATTTGATGAGACCGGCCTTGTCGAGGAGGACGCACGCGGTGTGGATCAGATCGGCACGACGTTGTTCGAGAAGTGGATCGGCGCGCTGGAAAAAAACTATGATTAGAAAAAATTAATTTAGATATGGTGTTCGCTTCATTTTGTGCAGAAAAGCACGTAGATTCACATCAAAATTAAAAATTACATCGAAAAGCTATTTTTAGGCACAAAAATCGTCATTTTTATGCTCAAAACACCTTCAAATCCCCTAAAAACCCATATTCCGGTCTAAAAACTAGATTTGTCAAAATTTGCTCTGATGGCAAAGTGGGATTTTCGGCCGAAGTTTTGGAGCCAAAGGGTCTCAGGTTCCAATCCACCGGCAAAATTAAAAATCGAGCTTTAAAAGCTTAGAAAATGATTTTTCGGACCTTTTTGAACCTTTATTGTCATCAAAACTTCAAATATCGTCATTTTTATGCTCAAAATACCTCGAAACGTTTTAAAAACCCATATTTCGGTCCAAAAATCAAAGTTTTCTAAATTTGCTCAGATGGCCTAGTGGGATTTTCGTCTGAAATTTTGGAGCCAAGGGGTCTTGGGTTCGAACCCCACCAGTGGCAAATTGTTTTTGAAAACGTTTTTAGGAGTTTTCAGGGGCGGGAAATTCGAAAATTGAGGTTTCAAAAATCACTTACCGCTTGCTCATGCGTAATTCCATAGAGCGTTGGATTCTTCAACATTCTCACAAACAGGAAAGTGTATCCCAACCAGTTCGTGGCCTCCGAAACACTGCTAACCGTACCCAGCACAACTTCCGCGTTGAGCATGTCCGTCAGTCGAGAGACCATCTGACTCTCAACCGGAAGTTGTTGATTCATCAAAGACAGGTAGTACTGTAGTTCCGAATGATTCGTAATCAGAATTCCCTCTCCTCGCTCGTCGTATTGTGGACGTCCGGCACGTCCCAACATTTGCATGATGTCGAGTGCTCCGAGTTCGGTCCAACGTCCTTTCTCCGGATTGTAGATTTGGGTTCCTTTGATGATGACGGTATGAGCTGGCAAGTTGACTCCCCAGGCGAGGGTTGCAGTCGAGAAGAGCACCTAGAAGAAGGGGAATTTGAAGGTGTCTTCAATTTTGGTGTACTATTCGAAAATTCCGATTTCAGTGCATTTTGTCGTGAAATTTGGTGTCAAATTCAAAAATCTGTGAACTTTTTCGTGAATTTTGGTGTATTATTCGAAAATTCATGAATCTGTGCAATGTTTCGTTATATAAGTTCATTTTTGGGGCTCCCGGACATTTCGCAGCCTCTGATAACGTCAGGAAATCAGAATTCCAAGTTCTTAGGTTTTGAAAAAAAGTATATTTTAATGTCAGAATTTGAATTTTCGAAGAATTCGGCTGAAAAAATAGCAAGGAAGAATTCAATCAATTGAAAACTGCTAAATCTTCACTTTTATGAAATTTTTTAGAATTTCTTTTTTTTTGCTATTTTTCAGCTGAATTCTTCGGAAATTCAATTTCTGACATTAAAATATTTTTTTTCAAAACCTAAGAACTTGGAATTCTGATTTTCTGACGTTATCAGAGGCTGCGAAATGTCCGGCTGCGAAATGTCTGGCTGCGAAATGTCCGGGAGCCCATTTTTGGCACATTTTAGGCCTAATTTTTATAATTTTCAGTCTATTTTCAGCTTATTTTCAGCCATTTTTAGCCGATTTTAAGCCTGTTCTCATCATTTTTAAGTCTGTTTTAAGCCTATTTTTGCTCGTTTTCAGCTGATTTTTAGTCATTTAAAAGTAGTGTTTGCCTGTTTTTAGCATTTTTAGCTTATTTTTGTCTATTTTTACCTGATTTTCAGACTATTTCAGAGTTTTTTAAGCCTATTTTTAGTTATATTTTGGCCTATTTTTACCTTTTTAAGTATATTTTCAGCTCATTTCCAGCGATTTTAATTTCATTTTTAATCTATTTTTAGTAATTTTCAGTTATTTTTAGCTCCTTTTGAGCCGTTTAACTTATTTTTAGTCTATTTTAGCTCATTTTTAGCCTACTTTAAGCTTATTGATGTCTCACCTGAATATGTCTATCCGCAAACAAGTCCTCAACCAGCGTACGATCCACCCGGTTCATTCCAGCGTGGTGAATCGCGAATCCATACGGCAGCAAGTCCTTCAAATCCAGATTCTTCACCTGCTCAGCCTCCGTTCTCAGAATCTCCGTACTCGCCGATCCTTCTCTCATGAACGCCGACAGCGTATCCTTCTCCAGACAAGCGTCTCGGATAGCCTTGGCCGTTTTCGCCGTCTCTTTTCTCGAATGCACGAAAACCAGCACTTGCGACTTTCCAGCGTGCTCCATGATCTTATCATAAACCACATCATTCATAGCTTGGAATCTCTTCAACGCCTTCTTCTCAGTGACTCCAATGTACTGTTGTTCGAGTGGAACTGGACGATAGCTGTTATCAAAGAAGTGCAAATGTTCTGGTTTGACTCTGAGGAAAGTGGCAACATCCTGATAATTGGGAAGGGTAGCTGATAGTCCAACTAGTCTACATTCATCATGATTCTGTTCCATTTGACGGATGGTTCTGACTACAATCGACTCTAGCACCGGTCCACGATCGTCGTGAAGCAAATGGATCTCATCAATGATGAGCAATCGGACCATTTGGTTATAAGCTCGTTCTCCACCCTTTCTGGTGACGACATCATACTTCTCCGGGGTACAAACAATCACTTGAGTCGCCATAAACTGCTCCTTGCTCATTTGAGCATCTCCTGTCATTTCTCCTACCGTAATCCCGAATGGAGCAAGACGTTTCGAGAAACTTCCCACCATCTCTTGTACCAAAGACTTCATTGGGGCAATGTAGACAATTTTGAATTCGTCCAGTTTCACAGATCCATCCTCAGCCAAGTGCTTTCCAATCTCTTGGAGCATTGTGAGCAACGCGACGTTGGTCTTTCCGGCTCCAGTTGGAGCACACAAGAGGAGATGTTCGCTGGATTCGAGAGCTGAGGAGCAGAGACGAGATTGGACACGGTTCAGGGAGGTGTATCCTTCGAATGCCGGTTGAGCCCATTTTGGGAGCTCCGAGATTTTGACGAGCTTCTCTCCTTCGGCAAATGGGCGTGGTTTGAGGGCGGGGACGTGCACTTCTTCGTAGGATTTCTTCTGGCGACGATAGGATCCTTCCGGAAGTTCGCATCTTGAAATTTGGTAGTGTGTGATTTTATATGAGGGATAGAATGACCTAACTTTCTCAGCATGATTTTTCTAGACCACCATGTTGAATTGCCTAAAAATGAACTGACATTCACCTGGCGCGTTTTTAGGTCATATTAACATGGTAGGTCTAACTTTCTCACCGTGATTTTAGGCCATCATGGTGAATTGTCTAGAACTGTTCTAGCATGCACTAGTTGTGATTTCTGGGTCATTCAACATGGTGGCCTAACTTCCACAAGATGAGTTTTCTAGGCCATCATGATAAATGGCCTAATATTCATCTGGTGGGTTTTCTAGGCCAATTATCCTAGTGGCCGAACTTTCTCAGCATGATTTTTCTAGACCACCATGTTGAATTGCCTAGAAATGGCCTAATATTCACCTGATGTATTTTCTAGGTCATTCAACATGGTGGCCTAACTTTCACAAGATGAGTTTTCTAGGCCATCATGATAAATGTCCTAGAAATGGCCTAATATTCATCTTGTGGGTTTTCTAGGCTATTTATTTTTGTGGCCGAACTTTTTCAAGAGGAATTCTCTAGGCCACCATCGTAAATGGCCCAGAAATGTCCGGATATTCACATGATGTATTTTCTAGGTCATGTAACATGATGGCCTAATTTCGCAAATAGAGTTTTCTAGGCCACCATGGTAAATGGCCTAGAAATGGATTGATTTTCAAAACAATTTCAAAAGTCTGTATGCCTGTGTATCCGGATGTCTGGAAATCTGTCTTTCTGGTTTTCAGTGCATCCAGATGTCGTTAAAATTGATTTCTTGCGTTTGAACTCGTTTTTTTTTTCGTTTTTTATTCACTAACCTAGCATAGACAGAGGCTCAAACCACAGCCAAAACCCAAACAAACCCAGCAGGCTGGACCAATTTTTTAGAAAAAAATTCTACAACAAAGAGGAAATCCTACCTCTTATTGCTCATCAAATGTGATCCCTGACTGAACGACAAATCGTTGAAATCCAGCACCTTCCTTCCTGCTTGCCATTGGCCTGCACTAATCGCCTCATCAGCCGCCGCAGCCGCTTTTTTGGATCGTTCAGCGTCCCGCTTTGATTTCTCCACCTGTACCACGGATCCATCGTCAGTCTCCTGAAGGAGAGCAAGAATATGATGAAGTTCCGGGCGGGAGCGCATCTCGTCTTCAATCTTCTCCCGTTCCTTCTCATTTGCCTGCCGGAGAAGTGTACAATAGAGAACCATGAGGCGATTCTGACGAAGGCACTTGATGAATTCAAACTGATCGAAGCCCAGAAGAAGTACAAGTTGATTTTCGGCATCTCTGTCGTCTGAGGCGTTCTTTAGAATCCCAATAACCTCAGTTTGCTTCTGCTGGGCAATCAGAGGATCCTTGAAGTATTTCGCAAGACTTCTTTGAATCCAATGAGCATCAATATCTCTTGGATGAAGAATTCCTCTCGCCTTCTGCTCATCCTCCGTCAGACCTCCGTCTCCTTTGAGTGTAGCTGTGTAGTCGGTATCCACGCCTCCTTCCTCGTCACTTGCATCTGAATCTGTTCCGATATCATTGACCATCCCTCCGTCATCTTCCTCCTCATCGGATTCGAATTGAACGTTGACGCCTTCATTCTCATCGATGTCGTCTCCTTCTGGTTTGCTCTCTTCTTCCAGTGAGAAATCGGTGATCTTCTTCGAGAGATTCGTCAGAACTGCGATACGATCGTCGGTCAGCTTGCCGAGGAAGGCCTCAACTTCTTTCTTTTTCTCTGAAATCAAAATTTTCATGAAAATCATTAAATTTCAAGATTTTTGTCTCAAAAGGTGACTTTAGAGTCATCTGTTCGAGCTCGGAATGCTTATATTCCAAAATCTGTGAATTTTGTCGTCAAATTTGATGTATCCTCCGAAAATTCAAAAATCTGTTCATTTTGTCGTCAATTATAGCGCCTTACACAAAATTAGATAATATCTGCATTTTGTCGTCAAATCTGGCGTATTTTCCAACAATTCAAAAATTTGTGCAGTTTGTCGTCAAATTCAGCGTATTTTTCGACAAATTCCGTTTCTGTGTATTTTGTCGTACAACTCAGTGCTAAATTCAAAAATCTGTGCATTTTGGCGTCAAGTTTGACGCATTATTCAAAAAAAGTGCATTTTGTCGTCGATTCTCACGCCTTGGATTTCCCGCAATATTCAGGTATATATGCAAAAACCTAGCAGTTTCTAGCGTCATTTTCAGCGTTTTCGGGGTTACTGTAGCCCCAAAAGTACGGAAACACCGAATATCGAATTTCGGGCCGAAAATTGGCTCCTGGACTGTATCAAGCGTGCTAAACACGAATCTGGCAATGTAAAATTGTGAAAATGACTTTTAGTGTCAGAAAACGGTCACCAGACGAGCTTTAAGTGCTAAAATTCCCTGATTTTCAGCCGAAATCCACCCCAAAACTCAAAACTAACCTTTCTCTCTGAGCTTATCACTCTTCAACACCGCCAGCACTTCATCAGCCGCTCCACAGAGCACCTCTCGTGGCGCATCTCCAAGTGCATCATAAATGAACGACAGAATCACTTCATACGTCTGTTTCGTCTCCTGTGTACGTGGTTTGTAGGCTCCAGTGAGCTCATGGTTGTCCACAAGAACACCTCTGCCGAGTTGTGGCGCCTTCGATTGCTCATCTCTCGTGCGGCGGCTGGAAAATGGGAAATTTATGGTCGGAATTTCAGAATTTAAGTCAGATTTGATTAGAATTGTCAACTAACATTGTAACTTTCTAGCTATAAGGGTTAGAAAGAAACCTGGTCAGATTTTTTGAAATTTCATTTTCCATGCATCGCAAAAATACTCGAAATCTCAAGGGGAGAGGTGACAAGTAGTAGTAAACATGGTTTTTTAGGGGTTTTAGAATCTTAAAATTCGAATTTTGCAGTCAGAAATGAGCTGGAAATGGCTTTTAAGGTGATTTTGGATCTTTTTTTCAGCCATTAATCACATTTTCAGAGCAATTTCTTTAATTTAAATTTAATATTTCAGTCAAAAATGACACAAAAATGGCTTTTTGAGGCTATTTTCCAGGTACAAGTCCTATATTTAGGTGAAAATTCAACATTTTCAGCTGTATATGACCCGAAAATTGCGTTTTTGAGGCTATTTTCCAGGTGCTAATCCTAATTTTGGAGTTTTTCTAACCAAAAATTTCAAATTTTCCAGTCAAAAACGACCTACCTCTTCTTCTTCTGCTCCTGAATGGGCGCCTTGCTCTTCAGCGCCCTATCCCCCATCTTCATTTTCTTCATCTCCTTATCAGTGATCGGAAGAACCTCACCGGTCGGCTCCTCACGTCCTCGCCGATCGGTGAGGTTGTAGTCGACCGACAGAACCAAATTCGAGTTCTGTCGGTACTCATATTGCTGTATGCGCGCGAGCTCGTCGGCCATCCTTCAAGGTGAATCGATAATTGAAATACCTGCAAGAATGGGGTTAAAGTGGGTTAAAGTGCTGAAAAAAGAGGTTTTGAGGTATGAAATTGGTCATTTTGAACCAAAAAAAAGTGTAAAAAGATGAAAAATTGATTTGAAATAAATAAAAATGTATGTCAAATTTACATCGGGGGGTTAAGTAGGTGTCATTCGGGAGCA